ACCGCATTTGCATTTTCTCGTTTAAATTCGCGTGCGTGTAATTTATCTTTCTCATTAGTTATTTAGTTTTATTTTTATATATATTTTTCATATACGAGAGAGACGTGTATTAAATTTACAACAATTATATACCGTATAAACGGGAAATTTTCGTACGCCAAATACATTGGGTTCTCGTTAGAAAGACGCGTTTCGCTATTAAGCCTTCTATTTCTCACTTTTAGCATCCAGTTACGCCGACAATAGGCCGCGAATTTGTTAGATACCGAGAAAGCGAGACGAGGGAGACGTAAGAATGTGAGAATGTAAACTTTGCGAGCGCAATAATTGCGTAAGACTACTCCCTTCTAAGACGTTTCCACTATTGCAATTTATAGTCCTCGCTCTCCTCTACGGCTCTCGTTCTCGAGGAGCTAATCGCCGGCGGATCCTCCGGTCGGATCCCTCCTCCGGTCGATAAACGCGCAGCTCCCTCGTAGTGCTCCCCCGTCGTTGCAGGTACAGCCTGTACCCAAGTCTCGGCAGGTGATTACTTTTCACCGTTACCACGCCGTTTCTCTCGCAACGGGCGATGCATTTTCCTCCCCCTCCCCCTCCCCGCGCCGCGACGCGTGCAATTACTTATCCCACCGTTAGCGCCGCCGTTAGGTACTGTCGTTGATGCGCGTTAGAGTAGACGAGAGAAGGATCGAGAGTGCGACGAAGGGCCACGAAGGCGAAGGAAGGATCGACGGAAGGAAGAGAAGAGGGATGAAAACTCGTAAACGCGGAAACGCGAGAGTCGAAGGGCGAATGAGTCGAAGAGCTCGAGCTCCTGAAGGGCGAAAAGGACGAGGCCTCGTCGAAAGAAACACGGAAAAAGAAAGACGAGTGAAAGACGACGGAAAAGAGAGAGAGAGAGAGAGAGAGAGAGAGAGAGAGAGGAGTCGAAGGAGCGAGAAAACGAGAGAGCTGAACGGACGGGGGGGGAGAGGGTAGGAGTAAACGAGGTATGGAGCGGCGGCTTCAAGGCTCGATTATGTGATATAAAGTTGCCAGAGTGAGGGGTGACGAAGGAAAGCTGGAGAGGGATGCACCCTCGTTGATTGAGCCGCCACCTCCAACGTGCCGTGAACACATGTGCTGGTGGCAACGCTCTGATTGGAAGCCAGATGGGCTCTTCAGCCTCTTACCTCCGAGCACAAACTCTCACCTCCTTCTCAGAGCTTCCTCCTTCCTATCGCCGACGTTACCGGCGCGTAGCTCCCGTCTTCGCAGATAGAGAAAGAGAGCGAGAGAGAGAGAGAGAGAGAGAGAGAGACTCCTTCTTCGAGATCCGAAACTCACAACCACCCCGCACGGGGTAAAGTACCGCAGTAGATGACTATCCCCGCGTCGGTTGCCAGTGTTTCATCTGGATAGATGTCTGCGATTGCCATCGAACTGGGCTTAGGACTCGGAGCGGATTTATTCGGGGAAAGAGCGTGTGTTGGTTCTCAAGTTTGTTCGCGTCGCATCTTAAGGAGCTGAGAGCCTCGCTCTTACAGCGCTCTACGAACGTATGATATTTGTCTAGATTTATTTTTCGAGTAGACTTTCGAGTTATATTAGCATTTGCAAGGTGTATATTATCGGCTTTATCTCCGATATAAAAGTAACCTCCCCCCCCCTCTCCCCGAATATATATATATATTCGGGCTGATACAGCCCGTTGTTGAAAGTTTTCTAATGACGCCATCAAAAGTTCTCGGAGGGGCAGCGAAATGGCTCGCTCGCGCTATGCTTTATTCAAGCACCAGGTTTCTTTTCTATTGCGAAACGGCAAAACGTTCTGAAGTGCCAAAAGCTATTCAAAAAATCATTGAGAGAAACCTTACGGTTTTACATTAATAGTGTCGTTTAAAGTTTGCGACATTATTCTTATCTGATATGGCAACACACACACACACACACACAAAATGCAATAGAATACATTAGATAAATTGAATTGCAAAAAACTTCTCAACTGTTGCGGAGAAGCGAAAAGTGCGTTTGGCTAGAGAAGAATTTGTGACTTAAAAAAAAAAAAAAAAATACGAATAATTTTTAATATGTTTTTGTAGCGAACGCACAAAACCACGTGACACAAAGAGATGTGTGTCGAAAATTTGTGCCATTGGTTTTGACAGTAACAAGCGAGAATAATAAATGTCTTAACAAAGCTCATTCGCGCGGCAAGCAAATCGTTTCGCGTAATTACTCGTTCCCGGAGTTTATTTGACTTTGGCTGAGAATTTCATTTGTCCTAAACGCGCGCGACGCCTATTATACGCGGCTATTATTCCTTTTGCTCCGCGCGTCCGCTAAGAAGTCCCTAGTTAGTTTCACGCGGAGCTGATCGCATTCTTCGAATCAGCGGGTGGTGTTGCCTTCTGTCTAACGCAGTGTGACGCTGCGACAACATCATTACGCCGACGCCACCCGGGCTCTCGTTATACATCCTCATTGTAACAACGTGAATCTCTCCGTGCGATATCGTTCTGACGTTCCGACATTGCCGTAATAATAATAATAATTACAACAGAGTTCATTAAGAAAATCCACATTCGCAACATGTGCAGTAATATTCGAAGTTCGAAGAATGTGTGTGGACTTTCGTCTTTTTCTCCGAAAAAGATCCTTATCCCACTTGACGTTATCCTTTATCGATCCTCGAAACTGCGTGGCATCCGACGGAGTATATCGCGGAGGAAAACGCGTTTCTTGTGCGCACCGTGGCAGTTTACGAGTGGACATAAGCGGGCTTGTTAGGACGAGTGGGCGGGTGGTACGAAGATTTTCACCGAGAGAGGGTTTGCAGTCAGGACACACAAGGGACAGTTCACTGGCTGTAGCCGTCGGCGGTCCCTAGAGGTGGCGACCCTGTTGCAAGCCGAACCTAGCCTGCGGTCGCTGGCTTGTTAGATCCAGTTTGGGGTCGCGCGGCTCCGGGGTTCTGAAGAGTGGACCGGGGGGACGCGGGGGATGCGGATGGTGGTGGAGAATGGCGTGGTGGAGGGCGCCACTCTTCAGTAGACCGCAATCGGGTATGCAATTTACGTGGTGTCCGACCTCTGCGATCCGCGCCATCCCTCCTCGCCCACTCTAACCATCCTCTCGAATCGGTGCTTCCACAGCTCGATCCCACCGCGCGTTCTCTCTCTCTCTCTCTCTCTCTCCTCTTACCCCTATCCTTTCCATCCCACGCGTTTCGAGGATTCGCACTTGTGAGCCAAAACGAAGAAGTTGGATGCGATGCTGTCTCTCACTCTGTCTCTCACTCTCTCTCTCTCTTTGCATTCGATACGCAACAGTAAAAATATATCACACACAAAAATTCTAACTGTATCGCGCTGGTGACGAGAGGAAGAGAGTGAGAGAGAGAGAGGGAGGGAGAGACTCGGGAACACGGCTCGAATGAAGCGGAAGAACGAAAAGCTGTAGCTGTCGCAAGCAGAAGTTTCTACGCTGCTTGGATGGGGGGAGGGGGGGTCGGTTTCTTTTCTCGTTGCCCCGTAAAGCAGACGGTAGCCGTGATTTCACCTGGCCGGGAATCTCTGTATAGCCGGTAACGCACAGGAAATTGGTAACAGGGCGAACACGTGAACTAACAATCTGTCGACGTCAAAAAATGTTTCCGTCGCTACTTCCATCACTCTCTCTCGAAAGATCCCGTACGTCACACCGGATAAAAGCCGGTACATAAACCATCGCAATAAATAAATGAAATAGAGGTACTGAATTGAAAATCTATATGTGAAATATATAGATTTTATTTCGTTGCAGAACATTTTTACCTTACTTGTTATTTGCTATCAAAAAAATCTAAATAATCTTGTACGTATTCGGGAAGAATAATTATTATATCAAAATATATATATTATATTAAAATAAATACTTGTTGTCTCAAACATCAAGCAATTTATTTTGTTCCATGTCTCTCTGTCTTTGCTCTCTGTTTCTCTCCCTATCCGTTCAAGACCCACGTGCTAAAATCTCAGGCCGTTCGACGCGTACCAATGCAAATGTCAGGTCGAACGGCATTATCCGGCGTAACGTGCATGTTAATCAGACGAGGCTACATCGGGTGGCATAATTCGCTCAATTTACAAGCATTATCGCGCTCGTTGCATTTAATCGTTGAAAATTAGGTTACACCATCGAGCTGACGTGACCACGCTGCTGGCTTTTGCCGTATTAAAACTTTTTTGCTTCTTTTGTGCACCGGTCGTTTATAAAAGAAAATAAAATCGGTGATTTTAAAAAAGAGCCGTATTACATGTAACAAAAGCATATATATTTTTTTTTTTTTCTAGTCCAAGAGACGGTTGTCTCGTAATTGTTTTAACACGATGAAATAAAAAATCATTCTGATTTCTAATAAATTTACCGGAAGTTTTTATGTGCACATTTGTAATTCTTTTGCAATAATTTTTCTACGCAACTTAGAAGTTATCGTGCAAAACTACAAAGAAAGATCGCGAGAAAGAGAGAGAGAGAGAGAGAGAGAGAGAGAGAAAAAGTGGAGAGAAGAGAGAAGAAGAGACCGTGGGGAAATCGCGAGAGAGTAATCGATGAGATTTCCTTTGCGCTAACATCTCGAAACTTTTGTCACGATCAGTGGCAACATGCAACCCGTGGAAGCATATACTTTCACCTCTATGAAATTTATGTATGGAAATGTTCGCGTATATGTGCATAACGCATGTGGAATATCGCATCGAGCAGCTGGAGGCTCTCCGTGACGACACTTCGTAGGAAAATAAATTCCAGCCTAGCGAGCAAGCCGCCGCCGCCGTCGCCGTCGCTCGAGATGCGCGCTCCAGCGACTTTTTTACTCGTCGCTTTCTCGGCATATCTTACCGTTTTTCGCCGCATTCCGAAGACGTCATCATCGCGAATCTAACGTTTTCCACGAGAAATCGCACGACAAAGAGAATCGAGGAAGTTCTATTCATACTTTTAATCTGCTCGACGTGTGTTTGAAAAAACAAAAATCAGAATAGCAACGATATTTTTTTTTTTTAACTGTTTGTCAAGTAAATAATAATAATAACAATAATAAAATTTTATGCAGTTTCTAATGATAAGCCAATACATTGTTATCACACAAATCCGTAAAATGTTTCGATTACGCAAACATTTTACGTTCAACGTTTTTACGCGAGTTCTTTCGAAAATCAAAAAAAAGTACATAATTACTAAATATTTAATATGTTTATGTGTGTGTATTGGATATATTACTGTTTTTTGTTTAAGAGATTCTAAATATAATCTTTTTAGTTTAATAGTTTACTAAAACATCAAACATTTTGACATTCGCTTTTGGGGAAGTATAACGTTTTGATTTGTTTACATGCTTCAATTACGCCATGGCTGATAGGACAGGAGGAGCTTCCGTAATTTCGCGCCTTCTTCTGCCTCCCATCATAGTTGTTGTCGATGGTGTCGTTGAAGTTGTAGTTGTAGTAGTTGTAGATGTAGATGTAGTTGTAGTTGTACTTCCACGTCTACATCCACGTCGCCTATATTCGTAATAACGAGGACGATGATGCCAGAGCAATTGTTCCTTCAGGGAAAACAGAGTTAAAACGTTACTCTTCAAGAACTCGCGAACGAACAATCAGATTCGAAAACTTACGGATTCCTGGATCATGGCGAAAGCCACGATTAGCACGATTAGGCACATTACTGTTCGTTGCTTCATGTTGCGTCACTTATACTTCCTCTCAATGTTGTGTCGCAGTGCAGTAGCCGCATTTATATAGCCTTGCCGTTGAATGATGATCTATTTATCATTGACAATGAAAAGAACGATCTGTTTTGTCGCTTGCGTAGCACATGTCGGAATAACATCCACATATGGCTTAATGAGAATAATTAATGGTTAGCACACAAAGTGTCAATAAGTTCCGCATTCTGTTTCAGACGCAATAGAACAAATGTGTTTGCTATAGAAACCTGTCACACGTGTATGTTCACGTAACAAACCGTCGACAATTGTCATTTCAAAGAATTCCGACGAATAAGGAAAACGTTATGACCTTTGTCGTCTTTATAAGTACGACGTTATTTATTGATCATTTTGAAAGCTCACGTTTGTGGTTTACACAAATAATTAACAGGTTGTGAGTGCTACGCCGGTTGTGGTTGACTCTCAGTTCAGAAACGGCGCGCGTGAGCATACAATGTAAAAACAAGTCGGTCCAGCGTCGGTCCTCAGGGATTTATTTTTTATATTAAAAATAGTAGAATATAATATTTTTTATATATATTAAATTCTTATGATCTTTTACAGTTTATGAAGCAAATATTATATGTTCAAATATATTTTATTTATATAAATAAAGCATCGATTTTAATAAAGTAAATATATCTGTTTAATGTTGAATAAACGGTATCTCTCGAGGAAACACTCTTTCGAAAGAAACTTCCGAAAATATGCAATTGGTTACGTAAGTATTATATCACGAGACATATGTTTTAATTGTCACTGATAATTATTGAACATTAACTATTGGAATTTCGTTACGCAATACTGATAAGATACCGACTCATCGTCGTTTCGTTCAAAAACGACGCATGCTATTAGAACGTCAGTATTGAGTTAAATATCGGTAAAACAAGGAAGATAAATGAAAACGAGTAAGCAAAATTGTTAGTGTCGTTCCTTGCCGTTGTCAATACAAGATCTTATTTCGGATGACCATAATGTTTACTAGCAAATCTCATTCGAATGTTGCAGAGGCTAGTGTATGAACATTGAATATTGGAGCTCGAGAAACTTTATGCAGTTTATTAAGTTCTTATAATCTTTCATTATTTACGCGCGAAGCAAATGTTACATATGATAAGTATGTATATTTTATTTATATAAATGAAATATCGCGACTTTTAATATAACAGGGTTGATTTTTAATACAACAACTGTGTTAAATAAATTTTAAAAAAGCTCTTTTGAAACAAACTTTCAAAAATATTCGGATCGGTTACGTTAGTATATCAAGTGCTTCAATTGTCACTAATAAACACAATATAACGACGGCCAGTATGTGTTTATGAATTCCAGAACGAGATCATTCGTGCAACACAATTTTGTAGAAAAATCTTTTCAAATTAATAATCTTTCTTCTTTGGATACGCTCAAGCAAAGAGCAAAATGTTTACTCAACTCTTTGTCTTGAAACAAACTGTGAGAGAATCGATTTTCACTTTATTTATTGCATTCTTGTATATTTATATAGAAATGAATCGAATATAGAATTACCGATTGTGCTTTCTTCATTTACGTGACTTCAAGAAAACGTATTATTCTCGCCGTTATTAGATTGAGGTATTAACGAGGCATCGCGCGCTCTTTTTCCGTCTGTAATCGGATAATACGTCGACAATGACTATCACGGGACGTATTACGGGAAGGGAAATACAAGGCGGATCCCGAGCCCTACATGCTCTTCGCGCGCAGGGAGGTTATACGGTAATACAACCTCCTCACCGGCACCCTCGTCAACTCTCTCGCACACCGCCCTTGCCTTGTACCCCCAACAATCGAAGCCGACGTCTCTCTTTCTCTCTCTCTTTCTGTTTTTGGTATTTAATCTCGCTTCTTTCTCTCTGTTGTCGGCGGATTTGATAACGCCTGGCGGCGCCTTATACGAGATGGAGAAGTGCGACGGACAAGGGAAGTAGAAAAAAGGCGAGGAAGAAAAGGGTGCGTATAAGGGCGCCCTTTGATTTATGTCGTCGCGTCTGTCGAATGACGGCGCGCATCAATCATCTGAATGGAGGTATTGGCGAGGTACGTATGGACCATCGGGCAGGAGGAGCGTATATGCGAATCTCGAGTTCTAATTTGACACGGAAGACCGGAATCTTAAAGTCTCTCGGCTATTTCTATAAGCTCTCATCGCGCGTTCTCATCTCGAACATTCTCGCCTCTCTCTCTCTCTCTCTTTCTTGCAAAACTAAGCTAGCTTCTTTTTCTCTTTCTTTCTCTCTCTTTTTTTTACCACAGTATTATTGCAATATAAGAAAAAAATTCCGAAAATAATTACATACGTTTAAAGGATTTTTCTTATCTCCAAGTTTAGATATTGTCTGATTAAGTGCAATATTGTTATAAAATAAGTCAACACATTCGACATTGTACACTCGCAAAAAACAAATCAATAAATACATCTTTGAAATTAGAACATACTTAATAGAAAAAAAAAGAAGAGAAAGGAGAGCACTTTTCTTCCATTGAATAATCGAAGTGTGCATCGTATAAGTATATACATATGCGTATGTTATATATCCGCGTGTGCAACAGAAAATATAGGATAACACAGCGAAAGCGTGATAACAGATATATCTCGTTTATTTTATTTCTCGAATAAATTTAATTTTTATGCACAGACCACACAGGTCAATATTAATCTCCCAGCGACTGTATTCGAAGCTCTATATAACCGATCGAATTTTTAATTATAAGAGCGCAATATTCCGTTTTGCAATTTGTCGGAAATATAATGCAATAAATGATGCATATATTGCCGTCGCTAAATCTATCGGAAGCTATGGACGCGCGCATTGGAAAATTGCGCCCGATTATCGCGTAATTTACCGCGCCGCATTTGAAGCGACACACGGGGGCGAACAAGAAGAGAGCAAACATTATATAGCTAGTTTTATTATCAGTCATGAAATTGTAATGCGACAAAACTGCGACGCAAGAAGGAAAAGAAGTACTTTTTAGTCAATATATAAGCGACGCAATTTTGTTTTGAAATAACGCGGACATTTCTCGCGTTATGCATATATATACTATTTTTTTAATCGTTTCATAGGCTTCGTTAGGTGAGTATGTGCATTTTTTCTTTTTTTTTTTTTTTGTTTTTTTTTTGTTTTCGAAAATACGGTTCACAGCGCGCGGGAACCTCTTCCGTGATCGTGCGCGCGGCTGGCGCACGTGCGTGATTGGCAGAAATTCATTTCGGGCGATTTACATGTCGCGCGGAAATTGCGTGTCTGGCGCGCGTATGCCGTGAGGCCCTTTGTTTAGATGGCAACGTTTGTCAACGGTTTCTCTCCGCGTTATAGGTGAGGTCTGTCGTCGTACGGCAGACAGCACCAGAAGGGAACGGCACGGAGAGGGGGACAGAGAGAGAGAGAGAGAGAGAGAGGGAATGATTTCAAGACAGCCGCCGAAATATTTGGGCACAGATGCAACGTCAAGATTACTTACGACTTCGATAATATCCGAAATGTTTAGATTCCCTCTTTGTCCCGTCCCAACAATGGACGTGTCAATAACTTCCTTTCTTGTTAATAACCTGTCCGTTTTTTTTTTTTTCTACGTCAGCTTTAAGATCACTTAATTAATTAATGTGTTTCTTTGTAAATCCCATATAAAATAGTGTTTTAAAAATTATATGAAAACTTAAGGCCACTAAGAGGCCGACGCTGGCTCGTAGTTGGATAACGATTGATTAATGAACGGTAAATTTAAACGGCTCTCTCTAATATTTCCTCAAGTTTTTTCTCAAATATAAATCATTTTATTTAAAAGCGTGTTTACTGTACGTATGAAATCACAGCCAATCGGTTAACATTTAAATGACACTTTGAAAAATCGAAAAATGCTCGACGGAAATTTTGAAAAAGAGGTTTGCGGTGCACAAACATACAACATGTAACGTGAGAAAAACCTATTTTACGCAAAAAAAAAAAAAAAAAAACAAGGTAAACGAAAGTTTTAATTGAATTAAATGAGATGTTTCATCTGGTTGAAGGTATCGCGGAAACATTTTTCAAGAGAGTTGAATACATTCTCACTCGTTCGAGCGTGTGTGCGCGCGCGCCAGTTGCATCTATCCGGGCCACATGCATCGGGACCCCCGCGATATTTGCCGATCAAACAGACTTTATAACGAGATGAGCGCGTGCTGTCTGTTGACGGAAAATATTGAACGAACGCAAGCTCACCGGTATTGTCCTCGACAAAAGGGCCGGCCAGTTTGTTCGCGTCCAATGGAAGAACGCACCCCCTTGCCGACGACGACGACCCTTCGCGATCCTTCGGGATCCATACGCGAAACAAGCCTATTCAGACAGTATCGAGTGCTCCTGACACCGATTCACGGAATATCAATTTAATGGCTGGAACCAACATCCCGTTCACGATTATCCGAACCAGATCTTCGTCGTGGAAAAACGACGAACACACAAAAAAAAAATAAAAAAATAAAATAAAATAAAATAAAATAACGTCACGTCAAAAACTCTCTTGCTAAGAGAAATCTTTGTGACTGCATTCGAACTCGCCTCGTGATCGTTATATCTGGCTGGTTTATCATCTGAGAAAAGTGCTTGTTAGTTTTCCAACTTATTTATAACGTTATCTCTCTTGGCGGCAAATAAAAATTATAATTTTTTTTCTAATGAATATTTCATCAGTAGGAGAAATTTATGCGGAGAGAGAGAGAAAGAGAGAGAGAGAGAGCACTCGGTATATTCACGCGTGACAGCGAAGAACGCTCGACGTGACTAACAGACAAACCTACAGCAAACATCTGACGTAATGACGACCGTTAGAACGCGCGTGATGAACACTTGAGTTAGAAATGCAAATTAATCGACGCGGGGGATCGCAAGTGATCCATTCACCTCTCTGTGTCCATCCTTCTCTCCCGCCGGTATCAAACAGTGGCCTCGTAATGGGATAGCCCCGACCACAATACACCCTTCAGCGAGGCGGAAGAGAAACAAGG